AAGCAATGTGTGCACACAAACCACAGTGCAATAAGTGCTCAATAGATAAATACCAGAAAAAAACCTCCCTGAACCAGGTAGGATTTTCCCCAAAGACTTCCTCTTGTCTTCAATAGAATATATGTAGCAAAAAAGGGGATGATCTGCTAAATAAATAACAAGAACAATGCATAGCGCATAACTGTGTGTATGAATAAACCAAATGTATAAATGACAAGTGGCCACTCACACTTTCGTTGAAATAAGAATGCCTTGAGAATAAATTTCTTTTTCCAGCATAAATGCTTTTCGGGAAAAGTTCTTCCACCACTTTTAAACTCTTGTGGAACAAATGTTAATTTGTATGCTGTCATTTCTGGTCACTGAAGTCCCTGAGGAAGTCCTACATACGGACGAAACGTGTAGGACCCTGGTGGTGACACACACACCTTTTAATTGTTCCATGAGAGTTTAAAAGTGGTGGAAGAACTTTTCCCGAAAAGCATTTATGCTGGAAAAAGAAATTTATTCAAGGCATTCTTATTTCAACGAAAGTGTGAGTGGCCACTTGTAATTTATAAATTTGGTTTATTCATACACACAGTAATGCGCTATGCATTGTTCTTGTTATTCATTTAGCAGATCATCCCCTTTTTTGCTACATATATTCTAATGGATGTTTTATGTATGTATCTGGGTGGCCGCCATTCGGCATGCGAACACGTTGCGGCGGCCATCTTACGCACGAAAGGCTCAGCGGTGTTTGGTCGTCGAGTATCTGGAACTCAAATCGGACACTCAATTACCCGAACACCGCTGACACCTCCAGAGCTCCATAACTCCCGAACGGGAAGGCGAATCAGTTACCTCCCACACGTCTTTGGTAAGTTTAAAGTACCCAATGAGGCGAATCATACGAACATAAATGTATTTTTGGATGGCAGTTTTTTTATATGCCTTTCAACTCCCGAATGGAGACCGACCGCAGGGCCAAAACACATGGAACCCTTTTCGGATACCACCTCGGGTGCGGTCGGTAAAATTATACCCTCCACCTAACTCCCGAACCCCTGGTCTGACCTGGGTGAATTTTAGTCACCCAGATCAGGGCTACCAGAGGTTACCCAAAGTATTGGTGTATCTGCTAATCGTAGGGTACATCCAGAACTTGGGGAAAACTCTAACATGTGTAATGGGATTAAGTGTGATACTGAGGGGAGGAGATGTGTGGGAGGTAATCCATTGGATATTGTACTAATGAATGTGAATCCCTCCCTTGCATGGGAGAATGCTTAAAAGGAGGTTGTGTGGAATAAAAGTTAGTTCTGCTCCTGATGCTGTGTGTTGTCCAGTCATTGGGATCTGTATGGGGATATTCTTGGATTACCTTGCTGGCTGGAATTATTACTTTATGGGATTTTTTCATCACTTGTTCCTGAGCCTCACTGGGATCTTTAATGGAGTTAACCTGTGGAATACCAGGCCTCCGCTACACAGAGCAAGTGCTGAATGGAGTCTCTGTACGACCGACTGAAGAGACCCACCCTGAAAGATCTACTGGAGAGTCGTGGACGGAGTGCCAGTAACAGACCGCGGAGGGAGCCGATAGCTGACCTACGGGAACTGGACGAAATGGATCGGTCCATGGAAGTCACCAAACCCCTAGCACCGATCAGCGAAGATGATGACATCACTCGCATTGAGCAGAGGAGACTAGCCGTGTATCCAACCACGTCAGTGGAACTGATTGAGCGGCTGTTCCTAGACGTGAAAGCAGAGATCCGGGAGAAGCGGGGCCACGAAATCGTACTGGTAAGAGTCACCGAACCACTAGCACCGAACCCCTCCAACAGCAACCTATTACACAGACAGTTCAGGCAACCTATTAGACAGACAGTTCAGGCCCCCCCAACTAACACAGCAAAGAAGGTCCCTTTCACAGCGTTTAAAGCATTTGTGGAGAACGAAGATGAGATTGACTGCTACCTAGCCGATTTTGAGAGACAGTGCTCGTTGCATCAAGTACCTCCAGAGCAATGGGTCACTATCCGGCAAAGCGAACGAAGCCTTTCGGGCTCTCACTCCTGAGGATATACTGCAATATCAGCGAGTCAAGGATGCCCTCCTCACCAGGTATGCCGTAATTCCAGAGACTTACCGTTTCCGGGAGTCCAAGAAAAAGGCGGTGGACTCCCACATGGAATGGGCAAACCGGCTACAAAGAGTGGCTTCCCTCTGGATCAAAGGCTGCCACGCCGGGGAGGAAGTTTTACAGTTGTTCCTAATGGAACATTTCTTCCAGGACTTGTCTGCTGACTTACAGGACTGGGTGCGAGACCGTCGTCCCATAACCTTAACCGATGTGGCTCAGCTGGCCGATGAGTACACCGAAACGAGAAAAGTGAGTCAAAGCATGTCTCGACCAGCTCACAAGGTGGAACATCGTGCCCCAGCTACCGTACCTCGCCCGGAGTTCCGTGCTCCCGTACCCCCAGGGCCGTCGCGCCCCAAGGGGTCCAACAACTATCCCCGGGATTTGTAGAGAACAACCTGACACAGGTGCAGCAACACTGGACATATTGCTCGTTTCTGCCCCTTGGGATCATCCGCTACCAACTGGAGGCGCCCCTCACCCAACGTTGAAACCACCTCACCTCGTGCCTCCGCCGCACATTGCCTGGAGACCGAAATGGGACCGGAGGAATGCCTGTATGAGGCCGACCCGATCCAGGCCGCATCACCCAATAATCGTCAGCATCATTGCCAGGAGGTGCGAGTAAATGGAGAGGTGGCACAAGGATTGAGGGACACCGGTGCTACCATCACCCTGATGCAAAGGCATCTCGGCAAACCCGAGCATCTGTCTAGCCGCACAGTTGCTGTACGGGTAGCGGGAGGAGCTGTGTTCCGCCTACCTACTGCCTGGGTAAACTTGGACTGGGGGGGGGGTCGGGTCTGGGAAAGTCGTGTTGGGCAACGATATTGGCCCGCTGGCTTCGGCCTACCTACCCACAACCGCTGCTGCTTGCCCAGTGACCACCCGATCACAGACCCATGCTGCCAATGACGGGAGACCCAGGTAAGCAATGAACTGACCCTTAGACCCCATCCAGTAGAGAGACCTCTAGCTTGGGTTACCCAAGAAGAGTTTGGGAGGGAAACCAGAGAGGACCCCACCCTTCAAAGGTACCGGGAAATAGCAGACAGTAGGGGGGATGAGCGGCTATACAGGTTAACCGAAGGTAGGAAGAGAGGCTGTGTCCCTTCGCAGAATTGCCAACTGTTGGTACCTAGAAAGTACCGGTCGGAACTTCTCCAAATTGGCCATGATATTCCCTTGGCAGGGCACCTGGGTGGTAACCACACAACATACAGGATCACCCAGACCTTCTTTTGGCTGGGGATCTCAAAGCACATGTGACGTCTGCCAACGAGTAGTGAAAAGAGGGGACCACCCTAGGGCTCGACTGTCACCCATGCCCGTAATCTAAGAGCCGTTCAGCAGGGTGGCAGTTGACCTAGTAGGGCCCCTGCCCAACCCCAGTCCATCCGGTAAGAAATACATTCTCATCGTGGTGGATTAAGCTACACGCTACCCGGAAGCCGTCGCTCTGACGAATATCCAGGCTGACACTGTCGCCAGTGCCTTGGTCAGGAAATTCACCAGAGTAGGATTTCCCCAAGAAATACTGTCTAACAGAGGGACGCAGTTTACCGCAGACTTAACCCAACAGTTATGGAAGGTCTGTGGCATTAAGACCCTCCTCAGCTCACCTTACCACCCCAGACTAACGGTCTCTGTGATCGCTTTAATGGTACCCTGAAACAGTTACTGCGGACCTTTACTGCGGAATACAGAGACTGGGAGCGATTCTTGCCACACCTCTTGTTCGCATATCGAGAGGTGCCACAGGAATCCACTGGGTTCGCTCCGTTTGAGCTGCTCTATGGAAGGAGAGTTCGGGGCCCACTCGACCTCATCCGAGAGCACTGGGAAGGAGAGATGGAACATGAGGGTGTCCCCATTGTGCCATATGTTCTGGAGAAGCGGGACCGCATGGAGCAGTTAGCTTGGGTGGCACGAGACCATCTCAGGGTCGACAGAAACGATGGTATGATCGGGGCGCCCGACAATGTTCCAGGTGGGACCAGTGAAAGGGAATAAGCTCCAGACCTCTTGGCAGGGCCCTTACAAGGTAGTGGCGCAAGTCTGTGACACTACCTACGTAATTGCCAGTAACAAGGATGAACGGATTCGGAAATCCTTCCATGTTAATCTCCTGAAGGAATACCAAGAGAGGCCAGAGGATATTGCGGCCATATGCATTCCTGCCACCAAGGACTCCGACAATCTACCTATCCCAGATCTTCTAGCGCGCACAGAGCCCAATAATTTGCTCAGTACTGTCCAACTAGGGGAGCGCTTAAACCCAGCAGAAAAGGGGCAGATCAGACAATGGTTAACAGAAAAAGGATTAACGTTCTCCCAAGAACCCGGGTATACCACGTTAGCAACCCACTACATGGAGACGCCGGGACAAAACCCCCTTAGACAGACCCCCTACCGAATCCCTGAGGCAGTCAAGGAGGAAATGAGAAAAGAGATACAGGAGATGCTTAGGTTAGGAGTCATATAACCCTCAGACAGCCCCTGGGCCTCGCCAGTCGTTCTAGTGCCCAAAAAGGACGGAACCACTAGACGTCTCAATGACCGGACAGTGACAGATGCGTACCCCATGCCCCGAGTGGACGAACTATTAGATCGCATTGCTAGGGGACGATATCTGACCACTACTGATTTATGCAAAGGATACTGGCAGATTCCCCTGGCCAAGGAGGCTATCCCCAAGTCGGCATTCATCACCCCGTTTGGCCTGTACCAACTCAAGGTCATGGCATTTGGGATGAAGAATGCCCCAGCCACCTTCCAACGCTTGGTGGATAGGCTCCTTGATGGCTTCCAGGACTTCGCGTGGGCGTACCTGGATGACATTGCGATCTATAGTGAGACCTGGGGGGGGGGAACATCTGCAACATGTAGGACCATGGGGGGGAACATCTGCAACATGTAGGATTCGGGCTGCAGGCCTCACTCTGAAACCAGAAAAGTGTCACTTTGGCATGGCCGAAGTCCAGTACTTGGGACACCGGGTAGAATGTGGGAAACAGCAACCAGAGCCAGCCAAGGTTGAGGCCGTGGCCAACTGGCCCACATCCTAGGAACAGCAGGATCCTACAGGAAATTTGTCCCCGACTATAGCACCATCGCTAAGCCACTGACGGACTTAAGTAAAAAGAACCTGCCTAGAATAGTCCTGTGGTCTCCCTCCTGTGAAACAGCCATCCAAGCATTAAAGAAAGCGCTAATCAACGCTCCTGTTCTATCTTCCACCGTCCCTAACAAAAGATTTGTCGTCCATACAGATGCATCCATGTACGGACTGGGGGCAGTTCTGAGCCAGATAAGGGAAGATGGAGAACACCCTGTTGCGTACCCAAGTAGAAAATTGTTGCCCAGACAAGTGAGTTACGCGGCAGTGGAGAAGGAATGTTTAGCCCTGGTCTGGGCGTTAAAGAAACTTACCCCGTATTTGTATGGTCAGGAATTCAAGCTTATTACTGATCATAACCCTCTAGTATGGTTGAATTGAGTGGCTGGAGATAATGGCCGCTTATTGCCATGGAGCTTGGCGCTTCAACCATATAATTTTTCCATCCAATATCGGCCTGGCAAGTTCAACGGGAACGCGGATGGACTGTCCAGGCAAACCGAACTTCTGCCCTAACCGACGGCCGGACTGCCCCAAGTTGACCCGAAAAGGATCAATCCGGGTCTGCCGGGGTGTTCCACAAAAGGGGAGCCATGTAACAAATTGAAGAGCCTGACCTGCTTTTATGGGGATTTTACTATACAACATTTCGGGACGTTTAAAGCATTATACGAATTATACGAATGCAAACTACCGAACACCGGACCACCCTGCTCCCTAATTATGGGTAATTAACCTCGCTGATCCGCAAATACATTTCGCATAGAAAACCCACGAACGCTTTGTGAAGTGCCTGGGTGGCCGCCGTTTCGGGACTTTCACGTGTTCGCGGCCATCTTAACTCCAGAACAGCGGTGTTTTGCCGTCGAGTGTCTGGAACTAAAATCGGACACTCGAGTAGGCGAACACCGCTGAGACCTCCGTAGCACCGGGAAATCGTGCTAAAACTACCGAACCTGCCGTTCGGTAGAAACACTTAATAGCCTATGGGGATTCTGACGAACGTCGAGTTATGCACGGATGGCAAGCCGTTCGGGACTTTTTATGCGCAAACAAAGACCGACAGGCCAAAACTCATGGAACTATTTTCGCCCACTTTGCCGGTGCGGTCGGTCAAAACTTTAAAGCTCCATATCTCCCGAACCACTGAACCAAATGAGCTGATACCCTCCTACTACCTGGGTAGCCGTTACACCAACCATCACTCTTCCTGGGATCTACCTCAAGGGCCAACCATCACTCCTAGTGGAAGCCTCATGCTGAGTCAATCACCACACAATGGATTCCTCACAAGCCAACTATACCTCACACCTGGGGGCATCACATTGAATCACATCACATGTAACTACTTGGACCCTTTAGTGGGCAGATGGGGTGTTTTCCCCCGATATGAGTGAATAAAGCACTAAAGATAAACAAAGAGAGACAGGGGATGGTGATTTAAATGGTCACTTTATTTTCTTTGGAAGTCCCTTCTGTGTGCTGCTGTGCTTTCTCGTCTTCCTCATCCAGGAGCTTCAGCTTCTCCTCTACCTCAGCTGGAATATTGACTTCTAAGAGATTTTCTAAGCCCGGAGCAGGTTCATCACTTATCAGGACCTGATAAAACAAACAGCTGTGTCAATTATCTCCCCCAGAGAGACAGACAGACATGTGGTGTCAGGACCAGAGGAAAGGATTGTGTAAAAGGTAGCAAATGCACTAAATGCTAAAAAAAAAAAAAAAAAAAATTAAAAAAAATTATATATATATTCCTCACAACAGATTAACAGCACAGAGTAAATGATTCCGATTATGTGTTTTGTGTGAAGTGTGTAACAGAGCTAGAAGAACTCATAACAACACCATATCAATATGTTTATTCCTTTATTTCCATGCATGGATGAACACGTTCTACCCACCTGTACTAGCTTCTCACAGGCAATTCTTACATCTGTCTCAGTCTCCCAGGAGTGCAGCGATCTCATTATCAGGTAACTTCCTCTCTGCTTCACAATGCGGCGTCCCTCAGGGGTGGCACAGAGCTAAAGGGCGGCAGCAAAAAGGAACTAATCAAACCACCACCAGGGGAAGGGAGAAAAGGAAGGAATGTGGTGGGGCAGATTAGAGGAAGGCACAATTAATGTGAAGGTAAAAACATAAGGAGGTTGGAATGTGGAGGAAGGGGAGAAAACAAGGTAGCAACAGAAGGGTGGAGTGAGAAAAGGTAAGTGAGAAAGAGGAAAATAAAGAATGATTAGGTAGAGGGAAGAGGAAGAGGAAAAGGGTGGAAATGTATAAAGGGTGATTCAAGAAGAGGTGAAAGGAGCAAGGCAGGATAAAGAAAGAAACAATGTGAGAAACATAAGTATTGAGAAGAAAAGGTACCGAAACAGAAAGGCAGTAGGAGTGAGGGTGGACGGTGCGGTGTAAGTGCAGTAAGTGAGGTGTTGGAGTGAGGGCGGATGGAGTGGGAAAAATGAAAGTTATGCATCAAATCATAAATATATAATATGACTCCACGCAAAAATCTTGTGGATCAGCTGACGTGGTGTGCCAAGTGGAGTTTGATAAAGAGAAAGGAACGCAGGTGGTGGAAAATTAATCGTACGGTGAAAATAATGAAGAGGAGGAACCAGGCACAGCAAGCGTTATAGACACTCACCAATTGTATGCTCTCAATCAGCATCTTCCTGATATCTGGGTCAGACTCTCTCTGCTTGTCCTCCGGGAGATACTGGAGATCCGGAGGAAGGGCTGGATTGAACGGCAAAATGGAAAAGTCAGAAAGAAAGATCAGAAAGATATGCAACAATATGGTTGGGGAACTGACACCCTTCTCGATTTCCTGCACCACACCGTCCACCCTCACTCCAATACCACACCTACTGAACTTGCACCGCACCTCGCTGCCCTGGTCCAACAAGTAATTTTCTTCCCATAATCCCAGTCTTTTCTATTCCATTCTCATTATGTCAACTTACTATCCTACCCCTACTGCACTTCCTTCAAATCCACCCTTCTTCAGCTAAGTAGTCTGAAATCTACAATATCCTTCATATAAAACCAATAGCTCTGCCCTACAAGGGTGATATTAAAAGTAACCAGCAGATAAAGAAACACTAACTATAGGATCAGGAACACAAATATGTATTCCTGACCCTATAGTGCAAAACTCACCATTACCCCCTTTAAAAGCATGAAATACATACCTTATTTCCAGTGCCATGCAGATCAGCAGGCACTGGCCCTGTCCCTTGGTCACATCATCAGAATGTCAGATTTTTAGCCAATCCAATGCTTTCCCATGGCAAATTGGCAAGGGGCGGGGCCAAACACTGTTTTGGCCAATAAGCACCTCCTCATAGAAATGCATTGAAGCAATGCATCTTTATGAGGAAAATTCAGCGTCTCCATTCAGAGCGTGGGAAAGCTGAACGGCAGTGGTGCCTACTGTGCAGCACTGACCCAGGAAGCACCTCCAGTGGCCATCTGAGGAGTGGCCACTTGGTGGTGTCCCTAGGGGCAATGTAAACACTGCCTTTTCTCTAAAAATGCCTGAAGGCAATGATTATACTCACCAAAACAAATGCATTAAGCTGTAGTTATTCTGGTAAATATAGTGTCCCTTTAAAGTAACCATCCAAAAACGTGGGGGGGGGGGGGTTCTGTCCAGTCGAGACCAAGAGAATACACGTGTCAGAGTGCTGATGGTTATTGGCATTTTGATCCTGTAGAAGCTTACGTAGGACGTATTAAGCCCAATATTGTGATGGGCCACAAAAGATGGCGGCTAATTAAGCAGAGTGTCTGATTACTAGCAGTCATTTGGCAGGACACTGCAACTCCCATCTCAGTTATAATTACTCTGTGAAATCCTTGGGAGAAAAAAAGAGATGCGGTCAGCCCAAGTCCTCAAAGTGAATATCTGGTCATGGGTTCAATGGGAAATGCTTCACTTGCAACACTAAAGGGCAACACCAAAGGCCTTTACTGATTCAGACAAACCTGGAAGGAAGACCTCCATCACATGCAATAAGAAGTGGGGGCTTTGTGTGGGAGGATTGTAATAGCGGAGTCACCTGGACTTTATGCAGGCTGGCATGCAAGGTCAAATGGGAGCACTACCCATCTTAAATGCCTGAGGATGATAGGTTCCCGGGTGCTACATTGATTAGGCTCCGTTCAACAAGACAGGCTATGGCACTTCTAATTTTGTATTTTTCAGATTTTCCAGCATACAAGGTAGTAGATACAGTAGTGTAAAGCAGAGGCTTAATAGAACAGATGAATATATAGATATAGGGTAAATTCTATTGAGAAATATACGATGCGGTATAGACAGAATAGGACAAAACTAGTAACAAACAATACGGTTTAACACGTGAGACTCAACAAGATAGATCCATAAGCTACCTGGAACTGATCCCTCAGCTACCAGGAACTGATCCCTCAGCTACCAGGAAAGTCTGACTGTTGGAATGTGTAACTATTTGTGGATAGGGTGCCACTGGTGCAGTAAGATGGTTTATGTGTGATGAATGTTTGTGGATAGAGTGCTACGGATGCAATAAGATGGTTTACATGTGATAAGTTCGTGGATAGGGTGCTATGGGCACAGTAAGTTGGTTTGTGTTTGATGAATGTTCGTGGATAGGGTGCCATGGGCACAGTAAGTTGGTTTGTGTTTGATGAATATTCGTGGATAGGATGCCACGAACGCAGTAAGATAGTTTATGTGTGATGAATTTTGTGGATAGGGTGCCACGGGCACAGTAAGATAGTTTACATGTCATGAATGTTCGTGGATAAGGTGCCACGGACACAGTAAGATGTTTCATGTGTGATGAATGTTCGTGGATAGGGTGCCACGGGCACAGTAAGATGGTTTACGTCTCATGAATGTTTGTGGATAAGGTGCCACGGACACAGTAAGATGGTTTATGTGTTTGTGGATAGGGTGCTACAGGCACAGTAAGATGGTTTATGTGTTTGTGGATAGGGTGCTACGGGCGCAGTAAGATGGTTTACGTGTCATGAATGTTCGTGGATAAGGTGCCACGGACACAATATGTGTGATGAAATTATTTAAGCTATGGTTCCCAGATGGTTTAGTAAAGGTGGTAGGTTTTGAGCTAGGTGGCTGTTAATTCCTACCAGAGTCTATTTTCCTTTATTTTAGATGGAGGTTCAACTCCTCCAATATAGCAGAATGAGAGGCTAAGCAGCATGGAGTTGTGTGGAACATGTCTTGGATGGATAGATTGATATGGAGCAGCAGCACTTGGGTCTGTATACATAAAAAAAAAATAAAAAAAATTATGAGGTTAACAAAACTTATTTTTCAAACCACGTAGTCCAGAAACCCCTAACCTGAGGCAGGACCACCACAAATGGAGGACTGAACTGGTGGCCTGCCCACAATACTAACAGGTGTCAGGAACATATATGTCAAAGGCATGTGGACATATACCACCTGGCAAGGAATTTAGCATTGGTTTCTTAATAACGGCTGCTACAGGAGACTTTGTGGGGAACGATGGATATTTTCAGTCATTCAGCAGGAGTGAGAATACCAAATTCCCCTACACAGGGTAATATAGGTGGAATAGAGAAGGTTTAGGAAAGGTGGTATATTATGAAGATCAAGTGGAGGTCTACCTGCATCGAGCAGAGGGTTCCAAGTTGTGTTAAAGGTCTATGGATAGGTGGGTTACTCCTTATACAATATGGAGGCATTAATGAAAAGGGTTGATATTCCTAGATGCAAAATCTCAGCAGTCAGGGGGTTCATTCTTTACAAAGATCTTTCTAGGCCAAACAGGAAGAATTGGTGATGTATGGAGTTTGGTAGTGACATGGGGTTGGGTCAGATGGATAGCCGTGGAGAAATAGAATGGGAATGGAAGTGGTAGGGTATACACTTATGGTAGGGTATATAGTGGAGTGAGGTTAGTTTAATGGAGTTTCAGACAAGGCTTCATCCCTGCCCATATACACCAGGACTGTGACGAATGCAGTTTGTCTATTTTCTGATTTGCCAATACACAGCATTCTTTTACAAAGCATGGAAGGTATTTTAAGGGTTTGAATACTATCTAACCAGAAATGGGGGAGATTCCATGTTGATAGATCACATTTAGCATCGGCCAAAAGGGGGCAGTACTCCATAGATTTGGCAAAAAAAAAAAAGTTTGACATTTTTAAAATTAAATTCCTTTTAAAATCGACAACAAAACTAAATTGATTCATGAAATAAGACTCCACAGGTAAATCCCGAGCGGATCAGTTCATGGAATAAGACTCCACAGGTAAATCCCGGATGGATCAATTCATTGCAGTAAACTCCACAGGTGAATCCCGGATGGATCAATTCATTGCAGTAAACTCCACAGGTGAATCCCGGATGGATCAATTCATGGCATAAGACTCCACAGGTAAATCCCGGATGGATCAATTCATGGCATAAGACTCCACAGGTAAAGCCTGGATGGATCAATTCATGGAATAAGACTCCAGCCTGCCTCTTCCCACAACAAGCCAGGAGAGCGCTTTCTGGTAGGATTGTTCACACGAACAATCGCGACCTATGAGCCATGGGAACCGTTTGTCTTTTTGTTCGGTTTTGGAACTCCCGAAAATGACTGACCGCTACCACTGATTCTCTGGGTACCTCCGCCAAGGACCGCTTCCTAGCTGGAACAGGGGACAAACCACAGCACTTCTGCCCACAGTTGCTGTGGATTGACTGGGGTCCTGGGACCGCTCCCTCCTGGAGCCAAATGGGGAACACGATCTATCCACCCCCAGGCACTGGACGACACTCAGTCCTGGAAGCTCTAGTCCTTACAAGGACTTTCCCTGTTGAATCCTCCACACTGGAATAGTGATTAGCCCTTTCTTCTTCCAGTAACCAGACGACAGTTCTGGGAGCACAAGCTGGAATGCTTTAATCTGGCCAGATGGCCTGCTTTTATACAATTTAGACACAGTCAAACACACCCATAACACAGGATAATCACTCCCCTGGACCTGAGAGGAGACTAGTTACAAGCAAACATCTAACATACTCCTCCACTGTGCCTGAGAGATAATTACCTGAGCACACAAACATATAATTTACTTATCTCTCAGTACAGAAACAGGCAATATAACAAAACCCCCCCAAAACAAATGAAAACCCCACGAAAGTCACATTAGTTGATAACCTCGATCCGGGTGACCAACATATACAAAAATCACCCAGATCGATTCAGGTGTTCGGGATTTCCCTGGAAGTCATCATTTTGACCGACCATGCACATGGTCCTATGCCCAAAACAGTTTCATGAAATCAGTGCTAACGGTCGGTCAAGTTCGGTAGTTTAAAAACGAACAAACTATCAAACGGAATCTATAGTTGTACTCTGGAGCTTGTTCACCTTGTTCGTGGCAACGTTTCCACCAAACAGTGCCCTTCTAAGTTGTATAGAACTGAAGGCAGGCGATGATGGCAGTCCAGTGGTGTTTGGGAGTTTACGTGTCCGATTTTAGTTCCAGGAGATTGATGCCCAGACACTGCTGCCTGCGTTCGCGGGAACAAGAGGGCCGCCACATTGTGGTCGTTCATACGAAATGCAGCCACCCAGCCATACAATTAGAGCACTGCGGTGGAACTTGCTACAAAGTGTCAATTGGTCTTAACAAGCTCCCGGGTGGTCTCTGGTGCGTACGGTTGTTCGGTCCCAAATCACACAAACAGAGCCCTTTTCAGTGTATGTAGCGGATGGCACTGGGCTGTCCTGGAAATTACATGTATTTTAATGTCTTCGGTTGAATTGTAACGATATATGTGAAAATGTATGCAGTATTCGTCTGATTGTTCAGTAGAATCACTCTAGAAATGAGATAAACTACCGAACAGTCAGACCTCCCCAGTGTGAAGTGTGCCTCCAATTACCGGTTGCAACAATTTTAAAACTCCTGAACAGCGGTGTTTTGCAGTCGAGTGTCTGGAACCCAAATCGGACACTTGGCTAGGCGAACACCGCTGAGACCTCCACACCAACCTTGTATTCGCTTCCAAACTACTGAACAGCCCCCCGTTCGGTAGAAAGAAACAACCGAACGAGGGGATTCATGCGAACCCTCCCTGATCACTGTAACACTAGCATTTCGTGCAGTTTGTTCCCTTACACTGTGACCGACCGCAGGGCCCCCCATCTCATGTGTGACAGATCCATCTGTATAGACTGGGACTGCTGGTTCGTCTGTTTTGCCTTTTCGTGGAATTACCTGTTCGTATGCCCCTGTTCGTTTAATTGACTTTTCTGCCGAACAAAACTACCGAACGGACGGCCACCCAGAAGAGAAGCGTACTGGTGGTTAACCTCTTGATCCCAATTAGAACGTTGTGGTTAACTGCAGACACCTCTCAATTAAAACCGAATGCAGGGTGGTAGTCGTTCGTATGTCGACCACGAGGTGGTGGCCATTTTAAACAAAGCGAAAGACCAGCGGTGTTCGGCACAGATTCTATGGAACTGACAACGGACACTTTTTCTGCTGAACACGGCTGAAGCCACAGACCTCCCTTCTCAATCGACAAAAGTATACGAACACCGGCCGTTGGGAGTTTGAAACTCACGAATGGACTTAACCCAGATGGAGTCAATCGCATACCGAAGAACTGTAATAGACTTTGACTCCATGGCGATTGAACTATGCGTATGGGATCTGAGCGTTATTCGCCAATAATATGCACTCAGATCCAGGCTATTTGGGGATGTGTTACACGAATGAGAAATGTTCGGCAATTGTAAAGTTATGTATTTTTACGTGTTTTTTGGGTTGTATCTAAAATGGCGATTTGCCTCTGTCCTGAGAGATAATTGAATTACTTCTCAATTTTCTCCAGGGCAGAGGGGAGGAAACCATGATGCATGCTGGGAATATTATGTGCCTGTGTGTCCTGTAATGCTGTATGTCCATCTGCCATTACAGTCTCCCATTTGGTCCCCTAGGGGAGTGTCCACCAAGTGGGAGACCTGCATAAATACGGGCGGGTAGCCCACAGTAAACCCAGTTCATGTTTTACCCTCAATGCAGAGCTTGGTCTCGTTATTGGAGGGGAATTTACTACACAAATAGCGACTGCAGGATGGAATTATTAGCCGCGTGGGAGATATGGTTTTGGCTGTTAACGGCGATTCGTAAGTTTACTGATTGGGAAGTGAAGTACCCGAACAGGTCCCATTCGGGAGATTGGAGTATTCCCCTGCTTGCGGTCTGTTTGATTTTAGTTGGTACGAACGCAGCTTGCGTTATGGTGAGAGTGGAGGATTAACTAAATGGCGGTTTGTACATTTGATGCTGAGGGTGCCGTTACATCATGGAACCAATTTCAGCTGTTCTCTCCAGCGCGGTCGGTCTTTTCTTCATTACCTCCACAGATTTCCCGAACCCCTGATCCAATCTGAGTGATTTTTGGATATGTTCCTCACCCAGATCAGGGCTACCAGGGGATGTGACATTTAAAAGGGTACCCCTAAATTTAGGGGTACATCCAGAAACTGGGGGAATTTGTGTACTGTATAAGAAGTCAGGCTAAGGGGAGGAGATGTGTGGGAGGTTACTCGAGTATGATTGGTGTTACAAACTGCAATTTGTAACTGGCCCTTTAAATGACAAATGGCCCTGCCTCCCTGGGTTGTGGAGAAGCCTAATTGCCAGCCTCCTTCCGCATGACGATGGCCCCTGGGAGATTGTGCCCCTGAACACTTATGGACTTTTATTGTGTGTGTGTGTGTGTGTGTGTGTGTGTGTGTGTATATGGCCCTTTAAAAACCGTCTGGGGACATATTGTGACTTTGGTGAACAATGCCCCTTTAAGACTATGTCCCCAGACCTGTAAAATAACTTGTCCCTAGCTTTCTCCCACTTGGTTCAGTAAATGGGGCTTACTGAACCAAGTACCACACAGGCGGACCACCTCTATTGGGAGTGTGTTGGCAATTTACCTCCCAATTGACAGTGCTGGGTGGCCTTTGTTCGTTTGCCCAACACGTGGCGGCGGCCATCTTTGTTCATTCGCACGAGGTCAGCGGTATGTGTAGCCAAATTCATGGAACTAAAATCGGCTGCACATTTCCGCGAACACCGCTAAGCCTTACCTTCTCCCACAATGATTTTACAGCCGCAGAGACTAAGCCCCATTTGGAGATGGGACTTAGTCGTTTTTTCAGCTCAAAATAGACCGACCGCACAGCCCAAATCTATGGAACTGTTTTGGGCAGGAAAATGTGCTTGAGGTCGGTCATAAAGGGACCTCCAGCTAACTTTTTAACCCCTGGATGGATTTGGCTGATTTTTGAGTATGTTTATATTTAAAGTGTGCTGATTAATAATATTTATGAAGATTGGATGTATGGTTTTAGAGTTACAGTGTATGTATAAAAACTGTATTTTTCCTGCTTGTGATAATTATGTGCCATAATTAGATCACAGGCAGAGGGGAGGATTTTTGTGGGTAATTGCTGGGAGTGTTTTCTGTAATGTACGTATGTTATTGGTTATTCTGTAAAACCCTGTGGGTGGTCCTATGTAGGGAAAACCTGCATAAAAGAAGGCCCTTTGGTGCCAAGTAATACAGATCTTCTTGACCCTCAATACGTAGCTTTGTCTCGTTATTGAAGGGACGTGCTATATCACACTGGGGATTGCTATGCTCTGCATACTCCCTTGAGCTTTTAATCACTTAGCTCTTTTAAGAGCTGTTCCTGTTACGCTCCAGGGTGGACGGAAGACGGCGAGGCTCCAGTTAAGCTACGGCGGTTGTGGAGTCTGCGATGCTTATGGTCCTCGGTACAAGCTAGGTGGCGTCCATCAACTGAGGGTACTCGGTCGGAGTACGGGGAGCTCCGTTACAATTGGGCACTGTAGTAATTACTGTAAATCCCTCCCTTGCATGGGAGCATGCTTTATAAGGCCACTGTGTGAATAAAAGTTTAGTTCTGCTCCTGATGCTGTGTGTCGTCCAGTCATTGGGATTGCGGTTGGGATATTGCTGGATTATTTTGCCTGCTGGAAACCTTGCCTTATGGATTTATAATACTTGTTCCTGAGCCTCACTGGGAGGGGGTGGGATCCAGACTCACAAGGAACAAGGATTGATGGAGATTGATTACTCCACATTAAAGCGATCCACACTGAAAGATCTGCTGGAAGCAAGAGGTATTCCAGCCAGCAACAAAACAAAAGCAACACTCATTTCGGAAGTAATGGCAGAGTACCGAACAGAGGAGGATTCGGTCACCGAACAGAGGGATGCAACAGATGGAACGGAGCAGGCAGAGTTCCAAAGACAGCTCCAATTCAGACTGTCATTTTATGGGGAGAATCCACCGATAGAAATCATCTCCAAGACGATGACAGAGGTCCAGGAATTTATAATGCGGCAAAGAGGGCGACAAACACCAGAGAGAAGCACAGCAGTATCTATGGTACAAGAGGGTAATACAAAAATTCCTTACCAGGCGTTTAAACATGGAGCATGCGTCGCCCTCCAGTTCCGGTGCAGGGGCCAATTATGTAAGTTGTGTCACATCTCTGTTCCACCACTTTATAAGGGCCATGCCAGGCGGCCTGTAGCTTATCATGTTGGACAGGTTTTAAAATTAAAACTTTCTGCCCAACCTGGAAACTATGGTCCCTGGCGCCCCAATCATACCAGGTGCGTTGGCGCGTCTGAGCCGCCTGAAGGTTTTCCTTTACTGTCTTAGTTAAGGTCTCCAGTCGGTCTCGGAGCGCCAATACATTGGGTACAATGGGGGTACCGTCTGCGCTCCGGTCTCCCTCCCAATGTTCTCCAATAAGGTCTAGGGGCCCTCTTACTCTCCTCCCAAATAACCGCTCAAGTGGGGAAAACCCGGTGGACTCCTGCGGCACCTCCCGGTAAGCAGAGAGAAGGTGAGGCAGGAATCGCTCCCAATCCCTGTGGGTCTTGGCGAAGGTTCTGAGCGTTTTAATGTACCATTGAACCGTTCGCAGAGCCCATTAGTCTGGGGATGGTATGGGGCACTGATGATCGGTTTAACGTCACAAAATCTCCAGAGTTGCTGAGTGAACTCTGTGGTAAATTGACTACCCTGATCCGAGATGATCTCCCTGGGTAACCCCATCCGGGAGAAAATCTTCATCAGGGCCTCGGAGTGTATATTGGTCAGGGCCACCGCCTCTGGATATCGGGTGGTGTAATCCACAACAGTTAAAATATATTTCTTGCCCGAAGGGCTAGGTTTCTGAAGGGGGCCTATGATATCTACCGCTATTCTGTGAAATGGTTCCTCTGTTAGTAGCAGATGCAACTTTGCCTTCCGCCTGTCTCCCCGCTTCCCTACCCTCTGGCATGTATCGCAGGTACAATACTTATGTACCTCCTGGCTAACTCCTGGCCAAAAGAAACTTTGGGTCAGTCGGTATCGGGTATGACTGATCCCCAAATGCCCGGATAGCGGAATATTGTGAGCTATACGGAGCAATTCGGCTCGGTACCTCTGTGGTACGACTAACTGCCTTAAAACAAAATCGGGTCTGACCCAGCTACCTGCTTATCTGACTCCCGATAGAACAGCCGTCCCTCCCATACAAATCTTTCCCCCTCCGCCCCAGGTTGGTCAGAGGTGACTTTGTCTCTATATACCTTTTTGGTAGGGTCAGTGATCACCTCTGCCGCAAATTCGTTAGGAGGGGCCCAGGGTACACAATCTAGGGAAGGGGAAGGCTCTCTTACCTGAACCTCCGGCAGTGTGTTGTAGTCCTGGGTGCGGGCCTGTTGCCTGGTGACCACTGGATGTGCTTCCTCCGTGGTTGTGGTTTGGGGCTCAAAAGCCGATAGGAAATAGTTTCCCAGTACCACCTCTGTGGGTAATTGTGGCATCAACCGCACCTCTACATTTCCCGACCCCGCTCCCCAATGCAAATGTACGTTTGCGGTATTCAGCAGGTAGACGGCTCCCCCAGCAACCCTGACTGCCTTGGCCTTGTCAGAGACCAAGTGGCTTTTTACCAGGGTTATGGTGGCTCCTGAGTCTCGAAGCCCCTGCACTGCTTTTCCTTCCAGATATGTAGTTTGCCTGTGGTGTTTGCGATTATCTGCATTGGCTTGTAGCGGGTTGGCTTCACGAAGTACCTCCCACTGTTCTATTGTAGTGACGGGGACTGCGGAGCCATAGGCGGCGGGTGTCTCCTCCTGGTAGTGGTGTGCGGCTGCTCCCGGTGGTGGTGGTCCTGGACGGATCCAGGTGGATCGGTCCCGGAGTTGTGGGCATTCTCGTTTACAGTGCCCCATTTCTGGCAGTGGTGACATTGCACAGAGCTAGGCTGGCAGAATCATGGTGGTGGTAGTTGTCATGGTGGAACTGTGGGGTAGTTTGAACCCCCCCAAAAGGTTTTTAATGTTGTCTTTGGGACTTCTGGTTTATGTTGCCTGCGAGCATCCAGCAGCCTCTGTGTGATGTAGGGTTACGGTCCCTTACCCATTCTTGTACATCGGTCGATAGCCCATCATAAAATTGTTATATCAGTGTAACGGACCGTTTTGCACATAAGGGGTAAAAACCGTTTAGGCGATCGGCCCCCTTTCCAGAGATACAGGCACAGCTACTGCAGAACACCAAACTCCCTAACTGGATACAAAATAGCACTCCAACTCCCGAACTGGAACCTCCCAAATAGCTGCTAGCAGACGAACAGGAAAAGCAGACAATCAGCTTACACTCCTGGCAATCAGTCTCTAACAGCATACAGTGAATCCCCCCAAGAACGAGACAAGGCTCCGTGTTGAGGGTCAAGCAGTGGACTGTTTAATGAGGGCTACCTGCCCGGCTTTTATGCAGGTCTCCCACCTGGTGGAAACTCCCCTAGGGGACCAAATGGGAGACTGTGACAAGGGACAGACAAGCAGACAAATAGGACACACAGTCACAATATATTCCCACAATGCATCCTGGCTTCCTCCCCTCTGCCCTGGGAGATAATTGGGAAGTAACTCAATTATCTCCCAAGACAAAGGCAAAACTCCATTACACATGTGGGGACACAAAACCAGTATTATACTTTAAAATACATAAAGTAACATTTATTACATAAAACACAGACATGTAACATATCCCCAGATAGCTCAGGTCTGAGTGCACATTATTAAGTGAATAGCGCTCAGACCACACGAATACAGTTTAATCGCCATGGAGCCAAAGTCTTTACAGTCAGTTTCATACGAATGGGCTCCATGGGATTCCTATTTGGGGTATAACAAATTCAAACAAATCTACCGAACCCCAGGCAGAAAAGCACGAATGAAGCTTTTCTGCAGGTAAAAAAAAAAGATGTCTTTTAACAGGGGGTCATAGTCCAAAGGCAGCAGACGAGCAACCAGGCTTCTCCAATGCAATGTGGTGAGATTGGTCTCGTCACAATCAGCAACATTTGTATTACGTCCTCCATGGACCGTGCTTTGCTAGCTTGCACCCATCCGAGGGCCGCCCGCTGTAATCTGCAAGCCCACTCAGCATGCGAGTCTCTCGGCTTTCTTTAAGTCCCTGAACCGCCTTCGGTATGCCTCTGGTGTTATGGCATACCGGGCCAGTATAATTTTTCACTCTACTGTAATCCCGGATTTCCTCGTCTCGTACAGTACGATAAGCTTCTGCTGCTCTCCCGGTTAAACGCCCAGCCAAAATGGGAACCCAGTCTTCTGCCCTGATCCTATGCAAGGCACACAGTCTTTCAAAATCCTGAAGGAATGCATCTATGTCTTCCTCTGCCTCTACATACATTTTGAATGCTTGATAAGGTATTTTTGGCTTACCCTCTTGTACCATGGTTACTGCAGTGCTGCGTTCTGGGGTTGCTGTTATCCTTTGCCTCAGTATAAACTCCTGGACCTCCGTCATTGTCCTGGAAATCTCCGCTGGTGGATTTTCTCCATAAAAAGACAGCCTAAATTGTAGCTGTCTCTGGAACTCCATTTGTTCCTGTCTTTCCGCCAAATCCCCCTGTTCGGGAACCGAACCGCCATCTGTTCGGTATTCCGCCATTAGTTCTGTAATAAGTACTGCTTTCTTTTTATTGCTGGCTTGAATGCCCCTCACTTCCAGGAGGTCTTTTAGCGTGGAGCGTTTTAGTGTGAAGCGTTTTAGTGTGAAATAGCCAATCTCCATCCGTACTCCATTGGTATTTGTTCCTCTGAGTCTGAATCCCAGCGCTGCCAACCAATGTAGCGGAGGCCTGGTATTCCACAGGTTAACTCCACTAAAGATCCAAGTGAGGCTCAGGAACAAGTAGTAAAAAATCCCATGAAGTAATAATTCCAGCAAACAAGGTAATCCAAGAATATCCCCATACAGATCCCAATGACTGGACGACATACAGCATCAGGAGCAGAACTGAACTTTTAATCACTTCACCTTCTTTTAAAGCATTCTCCCATGCAAGGGAGGGATTTACAATAATTATTACAGTAGCCAATCATACATGAGTTACCGCCCACACATTCCCTCCCCTTAGCCTGACTCATAATCCACTTATGCAGTACACACATTTCCTAGGTTTCTGGATATACCCCTAAACATAGGGGTACCCCTTTAATTATTATATCCCCTGGTAGCCCTGATCTGGGTGAAAAACATATCCAAAAATCACCCAGACCAGGGGTTCGGGAGATTGATGGAAGTAGTAAAAAGACCGACCGCACAGGAAGTAACAGCCGAAATTGGTCGCCACGTGTTCGTTTCCCGAAGGGCGGCCACCCAGAGGACAAAACACACATTACATGAATCACTAATTACCATTTGCAACATTGTTGCAAATGGTAATTGGAGGCACGCTTCTCCCTGGGGTGGTCTGAATGTTCAGTAGTTTCATTTGCATAAGAACTGGAGTGATTTTACTGAACAATAAGACGAATGCTACATACACTTCACATATTACAAGTGAACATTCAACCGAGTACATAGACATAAATGCACTTTTTAGGACAGCCCAATGCCCTCCCCTACAGCACATAACACTGCGGCAGGAGGCTGGCAAACAAGCTCCTCCAGGAGCTCGTGGCAAACAACCAGACCCAAGGGCATTCGTCACACTCTGTAACTGATTTGGGCAGACACCACGTGTGCGGTCGGTCAAAACTTTACCCTGGTAGCGATTCGGCTGTGTTTGAGGGATCTGAGCGCTATTTGAACAACTTGGGCGCTCAGATCCAGGCTATCTCCAGATATCCTATTTGTGGGGGTTCCTGTATGTGTTGTATTTATTTTGGGGTATTTTGTACCTCTAGTGCCTGGGAGATAATTAGTTTGAGCAAAGTATTATCTCCCAGACACAGACTCCAGGGCATGTTGTTAGTGTGTGTGTTAGTGTTCGTTTGTGTGTCAGTGTGTGTCTTTTATTGAGTGCGTGTCTGCTAGTGAGTGTTAGTTTTTGTGTGTGTTACTGTGTGTTAGTTTGTGTGTCTGTTATTGTCAGTGTGTGTGAGTTTGTGTGTTAGTGTGTTACGGAGTGTGTTAGTTTGTGTGTGTTTGTCAGTGAGAGTGTATGTTTTGTAAGTGAGTATGTATGTCTGTCACTGAGTGTGTGTCTGTCAGCTAGTGTGTATGCGTCTGTTCGTGAGTGTGATTAAAACCCCTTCAGCACTTACCTTTCTCCAGCGCCGGGCTCCCTTGGCACTGGGGATCTCTCTGCCCTGATTCGCCTCTCAGCTCTAAATGCGCATGTGCGGCAAGAGCATGCATTCAAACTGCCCACAGGAAAGCATTACTCAGTGCTTTCCTATGGACGGCCAGTGTCTTCTCACTGATTTTCACAGTGAGAATCGTGGAAGCCCCTCTAGCTACTAGAGGCTGGATTAACCCTTAGTGAAAACGGTTTTCAGCTGCAGGGTAAAAACTAGAGGGACCTGGCACCCAGACCACTTCATTGAGCTGAAGTGATCTGAGTGTCTATAGTGGTCGTTTAAGTGTTTGTGTCTGCATGCACTGGCGTACATTCCACAGTCGCAGCGCTGCGACCAGGTGCCCGCCGCCATGTGTTGCGGCCCCGGTCCGCGCAGAGTAAGCACCGGGGGAGGTGGCCCACGGATCAATTTTCACACCAGAGCCCCATTGATCGTGTATACGCCACTGTCCAAAAGCAAACCACATTTTGTATTTTTGATAGGTTAAACTCAGGACATGGCACTCTATCAGTTAATCTTCTGTAGCTGCTATTTAATGAGGACAGTGACATGCTGGAATCATGAATTAAGTCCATGTAGACCAATCCCCTTTGCCCAAGGTTGCCTCCCTTCAATGCAACCCCCAAACCTACTCTCCATTTCCTCCTCAGAGTATTCTTCTCCTCCGGCCAACGGCAACAACAAGAACGGAAGCAAATCCACATCTTCTCCAAGAAGCCAAGAGTGATCTCCTGAAAGAGGCCAAATATAAAAAGAAAAAGGTGAAGGACATCCATTACTCTGAGCTGAAATGACAACTAAAGGCAACGGAGAGAAGAGAATTGTGCATATAGAGAAGGGCATTTAGCTGGCCTTTAGACTGTAAGAGCTCATGTGAGCATTGCACAATCACAGCAGAACCGACTATGGAAGCTCCTCCATAAGATGTTCGTTACCACGAAGCTTTGCTGGGGGACGTCCTGGAGGTCCAGCAGAAGCTGATCCAGTTACCTACTTGCATGATCAGTTCAGCAACTCCCCAAAACAGGTAAAAAAGTTATATTCAGTAGTATAAAGGGCATAGTGACAGTCAGAACTAAAAGCGCGGTCTTGAAAGGATCGAGGCACAGTGAGTCCCCGGCAGTTGAAAATAGCGCGGTTTCTGAGAAAAGGCCTGGCTTTATTTGTGCAGTCCCCGCTTAGAGTAGGTGTCAGACATGCACCAACAGATTCAGGTGTCAGCATGCGTAGTATGGCGACAGAGGGCGCGCCACCAGGGAGTGGGAACAGACAACCTTTAACACAATACACAAAACCTGATCATATTGTGGGGATATTTATGGGATGATATTAAACAGTCAAGAATTGCCCACTATTTCAATTCTCTTAGATCTTAGAGATCATTATCATGTAAGTGAAATGTATTCCATACAAATAAAATCACAATTTGTTATAAAAATAGATTTAATTTATTGTAACAAATTAAACAATATTAGGCAGCATGCATGATAATAATCAGTGAATATTTAGTATAACATAAGTATGCAATACAATGGTATGGCTATACACGTTCCAATGGCTAACAGCATCTCCTGTCACTTAATAAGATTTATGAGGGTACTTTATAGACAAAAAGTAAAGCTTCACACAGCGAAAAGCCATAAAACCTTGGCTAACAGTTAAATCAACTGAGTAACCCTTTCAATGCTGGCTAGATCCTCCTAGGCATATAATATCCTATTCTCATGTAATTTTCAATTAAAATAACATTCAGACCAGCTCATTAACCCCTTAAGGACTGGACTGTTTTTGCGATGTTGTACATTTGCGACCAGGCATATTTTTACACTTTTGTGGTGTTTGGCTGGAATTTTCCGCTCTCTCATTTACTGTTCCCATACAAATTATATATTGTTTTTTTCAGGACAAAAGGGGCTTTCTTTACATACCATTATTTATATAATCTCATGTATTTTAATTAAAAAAAAATAAAAAATATGATGAGAAATTGAAAAAAAATACATGTTTTTTGACTTTTACTTGAAAAATCTTTTACTCATCTACAAAAGCGAATTAAAAAAACTGCTAAATAGATTCAAAATTTTGTCCTGAGTTTAAAAATACCCCGTGTTTACATGCTTTTTTGCATGTTATAGGGCTATAGGTACAAGTAGAATATTGCGGTTTCAAAACATAAATTTTTTTAAATTTATCAATAATGACATTGTAACACTATTATCTGTCATAAATCTCTGAATAACACCCCACATGTACATATTTTTTTTAAAGTAGACAACCCAGGGTATTCAATATGGGGTATGTCCAGTCTTTTTTTGACATTCTTTATTTAAGTTTTTCAATATTCAATCACAGCATGTATATCCAATATAAATTAACATGTGGTAACATATAAACTGGTCAGTTATGTGTATTACAGCATCAAGATAGTTTCATCTACTGGATAATAAATTGAATTTGGGTGTTTGGCTTCATTATTACAGTGAGCGTTCTTTTGTGTTGTGTTCTGTCGTTAGCCCTGTATGGGGTTAGTCCCCTCTGTGGTCGGGTGCGAATGGAGTTTGTGGTTGCTCCACAAGATTCGTGCAAGTTTTCGGGTGGGTTGTTTCAACCGCTCTGTATTGTGCTCGTGGGTCAGAGGGGGAGTTGTACAACCCTGCATTGGTATCTGAGCTTCCTCAGTTGTAGGTAGGACCCTAATAGAGAGGTTGGCTCAGTGCAAGGTTTCCCCTCACTTACTTATTGGGTCTAGTGTGACCTATGGTACTTAAGAGGTGTGGTAGTCTCCGTCTATGTGTGGTGCAGTTCGTCTTTGTCCCCAGCCTCGTACGTGGTGATTTGTTCGTGTTTCTAGTGCCAGGTTGATGGATATAGAGCTTTGTCCCAATCCGTGTTATGTCTGTCTACGTGTGTCCTTCTTTGGAGGGGTACCGTCTGGGGCTTTGTATGGGGGTCCAGTCTGGTTCGTGTTTGATTTGTGTGTTGGTTTAGGTCGTAATGAGCCTGGTGTGGATGGGCTCAGCCTTAAATCATGAGGGGGCCAATTATTCTGCCCCTGTGACCGTGTAGTTACCCCCTAGTTTCCCTGAGTCGATCTGTTTTAGGTTTTCCCTGGGGGTAGTTGGCCTAGGTTGTCCGTGGGCGCAGCTAGTATATGTAGGGTTATCCTGTGATGTCTTGTTCTGTCGTTGTGCGGTGTGTGGGGTCTGTGTCAGATGCCGTGTCGTCACCTCAGGCCCCTGGTTTGAGTCGCTCGTGCGGTGGGTGTGATCATATCATCCCTGGGGCCTGTAGCCTGGTCCCCGTGACTCTTCTGGATACCTAATTCTAGGTTGTTATCTCTTATCTTGGGTCTCGCTGGGTTCGGTGTGTGTGTGGGGTTATATATGCCACCTGCGGCTGCCCCAGTTGTTAGTTGGCGTGGTCAGGGCCGGGTGCTACTGGCTCCGGTCGTGGCTTCTTGTGTCTGGGGTGGGGGTGAGTCCATGTTCCTTACGTCCCGGTCTCTCTCTTCCCTCCGTCCCCTAGTGTATTGGTCTATATGTCGCTCTAGTGGGTCACTCCTCCCCTCCCGTGACCCATGGTCCTCTGTCCCTGTCTCTGCTCACTCATAGATTCCACTTTGTGCGGAGCCTTAAGTCAGTCTGCGTGCCCCCGGGGGTTGTGTCCCTCCGGGTCTTTTGTGTGTCAATGTGTCATGTGGTAGGAGGGGTGGGGGGGGGGGTCGCGTAGGAAGTGTGTCTCCGTCGTGCTGAGGGTGCAATCTACTCGTCTGGTACTGCCTGTGTCTGTGCAGAGCTCTGTTGGGTGGGTTGTATTGGTGCGGGGGCGCCGTCCCTCTCCACCGGGTCACGTCCTCCTGCCCGTTTTGATGTGTAGTCCATCCATGGGTACCACACCAAAGCGCATTTTTCCTGGCGTCCCTGCAGGGAGGCTGTCATCATCTCCATGTTATATATCATCTCCACCCTATCTACCCATTGTTGCAGGGTTGGAATCGTCGAGCTTTTCCAATGGAGTGGGATGAGCGACTTCGCTGCCGTGAGTAGGTGTATGAGGATTCCTTTCTTGTAGATCTTCACCGGCGTGCGCGTGTGGTTGAGAAGTAGTGGCATGGGTTGGAATGGGACGTCTGAGCCCGTGATGTCTTTGGTCGTCTGATGTATCATCCTCCAGAACGGTTCGATACGTGGGCATGTCCACCAGATGTGAATGCTGGTTCCTATTCCTGTGCCGCATCTCCAGCATTCGTTTGAAATTGACTCATGTACGTGCTGCAGGATATCTGGCGTCCGGTACCATCCTGTTAGAATTTTGTAGTTGCATTCTTGGAACTTGGAGCTGATGGTCCCCCTGTGTGTTAGTTGAAAGATTTTAAGCCATTCCTTTTCCGTAAGTTCCATCCCGGTCTCTCTTTCCCATCGCGATGTGAAGCCTAGGGGGCTCTTATCACCGTCGCTTAGCAGCGCGGTATAGAGGTGTGAAACTCCATGTGAGAGATGTTGTCTGGCCGTGCATAGATGTTCCATCATCAGCAATGGGCGGTGTAGGTGGCCTTTACCCGCAATGCCGTCGAGGTATGTTTTCACTTGGTGATATCGGAATGTGTCTAGGCCACTGGGCCTACGGTCCTGCATCAACGTTGCCAGGGGTTTGAGCGTCGTCCCGGAATTCCATTGGCTAGCGTATACCCAGTCCGTTGCTCCGAGATTTTTCAGGTCTGCCGTGCTTAGCCCTCCCGCTAACCTCGGATTGTGTGTTATTGGTGTGAGTGGGTTGGGCGATGACGTGAGGTTTTTGGAGTAACGTATCCTACACCACACCTTCAGCGTGGCGTCGATCATTGGGTTCCCGGTAAGTAGTTCCTTGGGTAGTGCGTCTCCCAGCCATAGCATAGCGGGGATTCGACCCTGGGCTTGGTGTTTCTCCAGGTCTACCCATTGCTTTGTACTGGGGTTTGCATGCCAATCAACCAGTCTGTGCAGATGGGTAGCGTGGTAATACGTGAGGATGGACGGCAATCCCATACCTCCTTCTCCTCTAGGGCGTTCAAGAATCGCTCTTCGGATACGCGCTGGTTTTTGGTTCCAGACGAAGTTCTTGACTGCGGTCGTCAGGGTCTGAAAAAATGCCCTCGGGAGGTACGTTGGTAGTGTCTGGAACATGTATAATAATCTGGGCATAATGTTCATCTTCACGGCACTGATGCGCCCAAACCACGAGATGTATAGAGGTGTCCAGCGTTTCATGTCTTGCTGTAGGGTGGTGAGCAAGGGCGCAAAGTTCAGTCGGTAGATAAGTGTCAAATCTCTCGGGAGCCACACCCCAAGGTAGTGTAGCTTGGCTGTGGAGATCTTGAAGGGGAATTGTGCTTGGATGTGTCGTTGGAGGATGTTGTCCTGTGCGAGCAGCAATATCTCTGACTTATCTAGATTAAGCGTCAAGCCGGATACCTCCTTGTATTGTCGAAACGCCTCCAGGACATGTGGGAGGGAGGTTCTGGGTTGCTCCAGGAAGAAGAGCATGTCGTCAGCGTAAGCCGCTACCCGGTGTTCTCTTCCTCCTATGCTGCACCCCGTGATACCCCTGTCCTGTCTGACCGCCTCCAAGAAGGGCTCCAGGGTGAGGGCAAACAGGAGTGGGGACAGGGGGCAACCCTGTCTCGTGCCGTTATGTATATCAAACGAGTCAGTCAGTGCTCCGTTTATTCTTATGCGGGCTGTGGGCGAGGTGTATAAAGCCGTTATCCAGGTCCGCAGGTGTGGACCGTATCCCAAATGTCGTAGGGTTTCCGACATATAGACCCAGTCCACCCTGTCAAACGCTTTTTCAGCGTCAGTGGATAGTAGGACCATTTCCTTTTTGCCCGTTTTAGCGGTATGGATGGTGTTGAGGGCTCGAATAGTGTTATCTCTGGCTTCTCTTCCGGGGATAAACCCCACTTGGTCCGGGTGCACCAGATCCGGGAGCGTTCGGGCCATCCTGAGTGCCAGAGCCTTAGCGAAGAGTTTGATGTCCGCGTTTATCAGAGAGATGGGCCTGTAGCTGGCGCAGATTGTTGGGTCTTTCCCCTCTTTGGGTATTATTGCCACGGTTGCTCCCAGGGTGTCTCTGTGGAATTGGCCTCCATCTCTGATTGAGTTGATGCCTATCAGAAGTTTGGGCAGCAGGGTGTCTTTGAAGGAGCGTAAGTACGAGACTGGTAGGCCGTCTGGGCCCGGGGCCCTGTGTGCTTTAGTTGATTTCAATGCGCCAGATAGTTCCTCAATCGTCAAGGGCATTTCGAGTTCCGCCTCCTGGTCCGGGGTAAGCTGGCGGGTGATGTGGTTCTGAAGGTATGTGGTTATCCGTTCTCGATGGCTACCTATGTCTCTGTCGTGGTGGAGTCGTGGTTGGTTATATAACGCCGCGTAGTATTCCCGGAACGCTGACAGTATGCCGTCTGGGAGGCAGGTTGTGTCTCCACTGCTCGTGCGTATCTTGTGAACGTGTTGCGCTTTCCTTCTGTCTTGTAGCATCCTAGCTAGCAACCTACCACTTTTGTTCGAGTGTTCATAATAATACCTGGAGGCCTTCCTCGCGGTGTGTAAGAGTCCTTGTGATAGTATGGCTTTCAGCTCCCTTCGTGCTTCCGTCAGGCGGAGGTATGTGCTGTCTGCGAGGTCCGTCTTGTGTTCCCCTTCTAGGTCAGCTATCCGGTCTAGCAGTGTTGTGATACGTCGTGTTCGTTCCTTCTTGCGTTTGGTGCCTATGGCGATGAAATGTCCCCGTATGACGCATTTGTGGGCTTCCCATATCGTTAACGGTGGCGTCTCCGTATCTTCGTTGGTAGTAAAGTATTCAGTTAAGGTTTGGGCAGTCACCCTCTTACACTCTGCATCGTCCAGTAGGGATTCATTCAGTTTCCAGTGTCTTTCGCGGGGTTTATATAGTGGGGAGCTCGTGCGGATCGTCAGTGGTGCATGGTCTGTGTGGTCCATTATGCCTATTCGTGCGTCGTGGAGGAGGTTGAGGTATTCCTGGGCCAGGAATATATAGTCTATGCGACTGTAGTTTTTATGGACTGTCGAATAATGGGTGTAGTCTCTACCTTCAGGGTTACATGCCCTCCAACAATCCACCAGGCCGTGTTTATGTATAGCTCGTATTGCTGCTCGTATGCAGTGTGCCGGGATCGCGGTTTGTCCTCTGGAGGTGTCCGTGCGGGGGTCCAGTGGTAAGTTGAGGTCACCTGCCATGACCAAGAGGCCGTCTCTGAATTTCTCCAGTTTGGCTAGCGTCCGGGCCAGGAATGTATGCTGCTTTCTATTCGGGCCGTAGAGGCATGCGAAGGTATACGTGTGTTCCATGATTGTACCCTTAATGAAAAGGAATCTGCCGTTCGGGTCCGCCTGCGTTACTATATGTTGGAACGGCGTCGTCTGTGCAAAGAGTATTGCCACACCAGCCCTCTTAGCGTCCGGATGGTTCGCGTAGAATCCCTGCGGGTAGCGTCTGTTCTCTAGTTTGGGGGCGTCCAGTCCTCGGAGATGAGTCTCCTGCAGGAACGCCACGGAGGCTCTCACGGCCCATAGGCGCCTTACCAGGTGCGCGCGCTTTTCAGGTGTGTTAAGCCCCTGAACATTATTGGACCAGTATGTCAGTTGGGCCAGGACAAATCCTCGCGAGGCGTCCATCCCGGCGGCAGGGCGGCGTCCCCGCAGCGTTGTCTGTATGTGTAAAGGTGGTGAGTGTGGGGGGGGTCTGTCTGTCTGTGGTGGTGATGTGAACGGTCTGGCGTGTCTTCTAGGTGTGCGGGTGTGACTCTGACCCTGTACCGGGTGTATTCGTTCTCGAGCCTGGTGGGTAACCTCAGCGACGAGGACGCCGGTGTAATGTACAGTGTGGGTCTGTCTCAGTGGGGGTTCCGTATGGTCACTTACAGTGAAGTCGGTCTCGGATCTGAGTGAGGTTGGTTCTCTCCCTTCTCCATCGGCACCCAACCTGTAAGGGTGTGTGCAATCGCCATGTTTGCCTACTCTAGCCTAGGGGTCCGCAATAGTCGCCCGGGACTTAGAGTGTCGGTCGGGCTGTGGTGTCCTGTACCGCAGTCCCGAGGTCTGGTAGCGGATAAGCCTACCGGTCCAGTCGGCATTATGGTCAGTGGTACCCGTGGGTCCCCCCGTCACGGTCGGCTCTCCTGGCGTCCCGGTCCTAGTGGCCGGGTGTTGTCAGGGGATTCGACTGGTTTTGTCTGCCGGACATCCCGGGGCCCTCCGTGTCTGCCCTTCCCCGCCTGGTAACTTACAGTTCGTTGGCAACAAGTCAGCGTGTCTAGGGTGTTAGGGCGCTGTTTGGGGGTAGTTAGTCCTACATGTGTTGGGCTGCATTGTGAGGCCACCCTGTGGGCGTGGCACGCCAGCTCCCACGTTTGCGTCCCTTCAGAGGGGCTGGTTTGGGACGTGGTCTCTCCCTGCGCCCAGAGTTTTCGTCATGATAGTTATCTGCGTGCCTGGGCTTTCGTAGTGGGGTGTACCAACATGGCGTCTTGCTTGTCTCAGTGAGGCAGATTGTGCGTGGTTGTCCCCTCATGTGAGTGGCTGTGATGTGTGTTGGGTGATATAAACGGAACCGTGTATAACTAAACAACATGAACAAGAAGTGCCCAGCTTTGTCCCAGCCCCCCTCCCAGCTCTAGCCCTGTGTGCCCGCATGTCCCGTAGCCCTCACCCTCCCGCATCCCCCCCTCAGCTCTGTTCCGTGAGCAGCGGTGTGCTAGAGCAGCCTGTTCAGTTCAGCAGTCTTGACCCAGGGTGTGACCTGGGTGATGGTGTCGGTGTCCAGACCCTTTGTACCCTGCCCATCATCCCCTCCCCACCTACGGGGTATGTCCCCCTTTTTGCCCCGGGTGTGTGGGTTTGCTGATGGGGCCCTAGCCCCCGGCCGCTCCCCGAAAGTGGCTTCAGTTCCCTCCCCACCTGTCTGCGGCCTTCCTCCCTGTCTACTAGCTAATGCAAGCTGGCAGCGGACTTAAAAGTACATACCCCTGCCGTGGTGTCATCGGATCTGCATGGCGTCCATAATCAATGCTGGGGTAAGCTCGGGAGGCAATGCCCTGATCTGGCATGGGATGTCTCATGGGGGGCCACTGGTCCGTGCGGCGTGGGGGCCTCTATTCCTCAGGGCCTATTGGGCCTCCTCTGCGTCTTGGTGGTCCAGGCTCCAGGTGGATGTTGTGAGCCACTTCAGATGGGCCTGTGGCTCGCGCCGGGGGTCCCTCCAGGATCCAGTTTGGCACTGAGATAGCAGGTAAGTTGACGGTTCTTAAAAACCGTGGCACGTCGTTCGGCCAGCGGATGATGTGCCATACGTTTCCCATCCGGGCCTGCAGGCTGAATGGAAATCCCCATTTGTATGGAATTCGTCGCTCCTGAAGTGCTCGGGTGAGAGGCCGCAGGGCCCTGCGGGCATCTAGGGTGATGGTAGATAAGTCCTGGTAAAGGGATATTTGTGCTTCCATGTAGGTGATGTGCTGCTGTGCACGTGCTGCCCGCATTATAGATTCTTTTAGCGGGAATGACAGGAGGGCGCAAATCATGTCTCTTGGCTGCCCGTCTCTTCTGGGGGCGCGGAGTGCCCTGTGGGCCCTTTCGATGCCGAAGTCGCCAGGAGCTGCATCTCCTAGTAGTTGCGCAAATAGGCCATTCAGGATCTCCTGCGGTACCTCGTCCTCGGATTCAGGCAGGCCTCTGACTCTGATGTTGTTACGCCGGCCGCGGTTATCGAGATCCTCAACCTGCCGGCGGAGGTCCAGGAGGATGTTGCCCTGCCTCGTGGTTGCCAGTTCCGCTGCCTGTCTGTGCTGCTGGGATTGTATGCGCTCTTCTTCCAACCTGTCTACTCGCTGCTCCAGCGCCGTGAGGTCGGTGCGCACAGCCGCTATTTCCTCCCTTATTATGGCCCTCAGCTCAGCCACCATTTCTCCTTTATCCTTCCGGGTCATCATGCTCGCGGAGATCGCGGCGAGGTCCGCGGATATTTGGGACAGGGTGCCAGGGGTGCTGGATTCCCGCGCCGAGCCCGCTATGCTGGAGCCCGGGGAATCGAGGGCCGGTGTTCCGGTCTCGCCCGTGTCGCGGAGGCCATGCGGCGTGGCCAGGAACTCGTCCATCGGGCCGGCTGGCGGTCGGGAAGGGGCCGGAGTGACCTGGGCTGCGGTAGGTAGCCGTCGATTTTTCCCCCCCATGGAGGTGCGCTTTCTGCGGCGTTGCTGTGCTGGTTAATCGGGGCAAATCAGGTTGGGGCCTAGGAGCTCGGAATGAGTGCGTCCTACTCCATTGACTGTTAGGCCACGCCCCTGTCCAGTCTTTTTTAGTAGCCACTTAGTCGAAAACACTGGCCAAAGTAAGCATTCATATTTGTTTGTGTGTGAAAAAAAGTAAAAAAAACTAAATTGAACGCTAATTTTGGCCAGTGTTTGTGACCAAGTGGTTACTAAAAAAAGACTGGACATACCCCATTTGCAATACCTTGGGTTGTCTTCTTTTGTAATGGTATGCCATCATGGGGGTAATTCTCATTCCTGGGCTACCATACGCTCTCAAAGGCAACGTAACCAACCTGGCCATTTTCAATGTAAAAATATTTGACCCATATATTTGACCTTGTAACTTTCAAAAATACTATAAAACCTGTACATGGGGGGTACTGTTTTACTCAGGAGACTTTGCTGAACACAAATGTTAGTGTTTAAAAACTGGAAAACGTATCACAACAATTATATCATCAGTAAAAGTGTTGTTTGTGTGTGAAAATGCAAAAAAAGTCACTTTCACTGACAATATCATCGCTGTGATATGTTTTACTGTTTTGAATCACTAATATTTGTGTTCAGCGAAGTCTCCTGAGTAAAACAGTACCCCCCATGTACAGGTTTTAGGGTGTCGTAGAACGTTACAGGGTAAAATACAGTGCTAGCAAATTCAATTCTCTGGAATTTCGGCCTGGGGTGGCAGGCAGGTCCCTTAAATTGCAATCAATAAAATTACTGAATTATGTAAAACTATTACATAAATACGCACGTAGAATTTAAATATATATGCATATTTAAATATTTGAAGTCTACGTGTATATTTATATAATTATTTATGTAATTTTGTATATGGACATATGTATATTTCTTATTATTTTTATTTATTTTTATATACATAGATATATATACAAATTCATTTTAAGTGTATTTTGATATAAATATATATATTAATTTTAAAATACAGTTAGAATAAAATTTCATATAGATATAATTTTTTTTTATTTTTTTATTATTTTAAATTTTTTTTATTTAATTTAAATTACTTATTATTTATATTTTATAATTATATATATACACAATATATATAGTTATTATATATATTATATATATACACGTGTGTAATTTAATTATAAGTGTATTTTTATATTTATATAAGTACATATTTATATAAAAATACACTTAGTATGGCATTATATAGATGATATATAGACATATTATATAGATATATTATATGTCTATATATCATATATACACATATATAATTATTATTATTTTTTTTATTAACACTAACTTTATTTTATTTTTTTTATTTTACACTAGCAGGGAGACTGCCTGTCAGCACAGGCAGTCCCCCTGCAGGCAGCACTATGGACACCTATTGTGACCATGTGATCGCTGTGTTAAGCGATCACATGGCCACAGGGGTCCTAAATCAGTGTGGGGAGACTGTCTGGGCTGCAGGCAGTCTCCCCACAACCGGAGCAACACTGATCACCGCCGGGGGAACGACGGCGATCAGGTAAGTACCCCCAGACCGTTAGGACGGTTCAGGACCGTCATCGGTCGGCAAGCCAAAAATGCCGAAGACGGTCCTGAACCGTCCTCGGTCGCTAAGGGGTTAATCATTTCCTGGAACCATCCAATAAAAATAATCTACCAGATTTTTACAAAAGCCGAATTTTAATTTGCCTAAAAAGATATCTTAGAGCAAATCAATACACCTGGATAAAAAGAGCGGTATGCTAACACGTGATACTATCACATTAATATATAATTATTCTTAATTCCACCTGCAGAATGGAATGTTTATAACTATATATTCTTTAGTTAACTAAGATTTCTAAATATTGAAATCTGACCGTGATTTATCCAGTCATATATCATGCTATTAGTAAATTTTAATTAATTGTAAGGGAATGCTTCAAACTGCCGAACTGCATACAAAATAGCACTCCAAACTCACGAACTGGAACCTCACGAATAGCTGCTAGCAGACGAACAGGAAAAGCACCCAAGCGGCTTACACTCCTGGCAATCAGTCTCTAACAGCATACGGTTAATCCCCCCAAAGAGGAGACAGGGCTCCGTGTTGAGGGTCAAGCAGTGGTCTGGTTTAATGAGGGCTACCTGCCCAGTATTTATGCAGGACTCCCACCTGGTGGGCACTCCCCTAGGGGACCAAATGGGAGACTATGAGAAAGGACAGACATAAACCAATGACAGACACACAGAGGTAAAACATCCCCAGAGGTAAAACTCCATTAACCACATGGTTACAGTAAAACACAATAAAATACATCATATTACATTTAACACACAAATATATACTTGCAATCCATCCCCAGATAGCTGGGATCTGAGCGCACAAAAGTACCGAATAGCGCTCAGATCCTATGCATGCAGTCCAATCGCCGTGGAGTTAAAGTGTTCCTAAAGTCTGTTCTCCATATGAATAGACTCCATGACATGTCTATCTGGGGTAATGCTGTTCATACGGTTTAAACTACCGAATGAAAAGGCATTCGGTTAACTGACCGAATGCAGAAGCGAGGAGGCTGACGGCTCAGCGGTGTTCGCGCAAATAAGTGTCCGTTTACAGTTCGGGCACTGAACACCGCTGGCCGTTCGGGACTTTAAAATGGCCGCCGCCACGTGTTCGGCAACCGAACAAAGGCCACCCAGCATTCATCAATTAAGCTGCGGTTATATATATTAAACCAATGCTTGTATCATTTCCCAGTATTCCTGGCATTGAACAGATTTGGGGTTTGTGCCTTGCGCACTAGTAGGGTTTGTAATGTCACTTACTGTGGTTGAAGCAGCAGTTTCGGAGTGTACCCACTACTCCTCCTCTACGCACTGTGGAACTGACTGAGTGAGTATACGGGAGGAGACGCTGGACAATGCACCTAAAACACAGATACGTAAAGTTACCTTGTGTGTCTATACCAGAAACCACAATGTGCTCACATTCACTAAATACACTCAACCACACTGCGCCCATTTACCCAACGCTCAGCCACACTGCGCCCATTTACCCCACGCTCAGCCACACTGCGCCCATTTACCCCACGCTCAGCCACACTGCGCCTGTGGCAGAACAGACCTTGCCACGTGTTCTTAGAGAGGGCTGCTTGCCCGCCTCCTACCTTCTGACTATGGCCCTGGCATATATGGCATTTGAAAACACTATTTGTGCCCTGTGACAAAACTGGAGATTGTGCACAAATATGACTATTGTCCATGTTTGTGTTTCCCTTCGTTTGTTGCACTGTTCACCATGTGTTTCATCTGTTGGTTCAGCTGGATAGACTAGCAAACTGGAGTTAATGGGTGGCCACCATTTCATGTATCAGAGGCACATGGTGAGAACAATGGATGAAGCACATGGTGAGAACAATGGATGGTTGTCATTTTAACTCACAGACATTGTGCACCAAATACCGGCGAGATGACACTGTGTAGAAAAGTAAAAACAAAGACATCGTTCAGTAGTTTTAAACTACAGAACAGGGGACACATTTAACAGTAATTGTTTTTCATATAGCCTGTATATGTTCTGCGGAATCTGTATTAAACTGCTTCTTCCAAACTACTGAACGGATCTGGGTGAATTTTGGATATGTAGTTCACCCAGATCACCCGGTTCAGATGATATTTTTTATGGGGTTATTGCATGTTTTGAGTCCATGTGATATGTTTTATAATACTGTATTTTCCTGCCTGTGATAATTAAGTTAGTCTATTGTGTTGAGATAATCACAGGCAGAGGGGAGGATTTCTGATGTAATGAATGGGAGTGTTAGCTGTGTTGTAATGTGTTGATTGGTTGTTCAAAACCCTGTGGGCAGTACTATGTTTGTAGAATGTGAATAAAAGAGGCTGTATGTGCCAGTACAGTCAGTTCTACTTCACCCTCAATTTAGAGTTACGTCTCTTATTGGGGGAATCTGCTACAAGGGATTGCTATGCTCTGCATAATCCCTTGCTATATTCACTGCTAAGCTCTTGTAAGAGTTTGTTCCTGTCCTGCTCTCTGAACGAGTCCACGGTGGTTATGGTGTCGGCTGGAGTGCTTGGAGCCCTCAGGAAGCGCTAGGAGCATCCTTCAATGGAGGTACCCAGTCGGGGTGCAAAGTGATCCGTTACAGCGCCCGTTTACCCCAAACTCAGCCACACTGCGCCCATTTACCCCAGGCTCAGCCACACTGCGCCCATTTACCCCAGGCTCAGCCACACTGCGCCCATTTACCCCAGGCTCAGCCACACTGCGCCCATTTACCCCAGGCTCAGCCACACTGCGCCCATTTACCCCAGGCTCAGCCACACTGCGCCCATTTACCCCAGGCTCAGCCACACTGCGCCCATTTACCCCAGGCTCAGCCACACTGCGCCCATTTACCCCACTCTGAACACAAATATACCCATAAATCTAGCCACATTGCACGTACATTTACCATACAAAGCACCAATACTACACATGTATTCACCACACAAAGCACACATTTGTCACACACTGCCACAGTGATCACACACACACAGTCTCACCACTAAGATAGATATTAAAATGACATTCCTGAAGCAGTTCCAATTATCCGCACTTAGAGTGATGGGAACTATTCAGCAATCAGTTTACACCGCCCCAATCACAGATCAGTTTCGGCTGTTTGATAGACAGCACTGGGGGGCTGACTTATAGCAGAGTGAGTGCTACAAATCACTGCAGTTCTAATCTACTCTCCAATCGGAGTTTGAATTCAAGTTGCCCTCTAAATAGTGCAAAGTTGTTATGGTACTTAGACTGGCCTTTTAAAAGCCTGTATGAAGCCACAAAGATCTCTCTGTGTGTATATTCTCCAAGACAGTCAGGACGGTGACACTACGGCATTGAACGTTTGCGGTATGTACCCCATGGTAATTTCGGAAAGGAGGAAAACTGATCCTCTGCTGTGACAGCGTGTTCCTCGTCTAATCTAGACGCTCACCTTGTCCGGTCCAGTATGAAGGTTCTGCCCTCGGGGAGCTGTGTCAGGTTACAGATTAGTGGGCTGAGGTATTCCAGCCTGGCAGTAGGATTGTACTTTGGGTTGGAGACCATGTGCAGGAGATGGTCCATTCCTTCTACGTGAAGGGCTCCCAGGACAGAGCGACATGTGTCCTCCTCACGGCTAAGATTACACAAGGCAGTACACGCAAAGTCGGCATAGACACACGCTGGGTCTCGCAGACGCTCCAGCAGGGTGGGGAGAAGAGTGGGAATGTTCTGCAGCAGAGCTTGGTGAATGACTGAGTCTGAGGTCAAGTTCACCATAACATGGTAGGCATCTTGGATCACTGCTGGCGAGGCGTCCAAGGTAAGGTCCAATAGAACAGGGAGCAGGGCTGATCCCGCAGTGCACAGGGTCTGTCTCCCCTCACGTGTTCCGCTCAGCCCCAAGATGTACTCCAGAGCTTGACTCTTCAGATCAGCGCGGGTTTCTGGGGTCAGGAATGTCAGGAGTTCTTGGCACATGGTGGGATCCATGGCAGAGAGAGGCCTGTGTGTGAAAAGGGAAGCAGTGTTACTGGGTGCATCATGTCCTGAAAATTTCACCTACCCATCAGCCATGTCACACAGGTAGGTAACTACCTAAAGGGAGCAAAACACGAGCTACCAGACACTCACGAGCACCTGAAACAGACTCCATGTTTGGTGACTATCTGCACCTGTCATTAAACACCCATAAGCCACTGCAGGTAGTACTCTTCACGCTCCACCCAGTAATGCATAGTGCAACCAGCACGCTCCACCCAGTAATGCACTGCAACCAGCACGCTCCGTCCCGTAATGCACTGCAACCAGCACGCTCCGCCCCGTAATGCACTGCAACCAGCACGCTCCGCCCCGTAATGCACTGCAACCAGCACGCTCCGCCCCGTAATGCACTGCAACCAGCACGCTCTGCCCCGTAATGCACTGCAACCAGCACGCTCCGCCCCGTAATGCACTGCAGTTAGTACTCTCCACACACTTCACTCTGAGTCGGCGGGTCACTAATCGAGATTGCCCATTTACCGGTCTAACAGCACTCAGTGTTAAAAGATGTACATGTAATATAGGAAGTCACAGTCAACCATACATACACACACTATATGATATATCTCTCTAACAGGCCATTCCATGCTCTCTCTCTCTCTCTAACAGGCCATTCCATGCTCTCTCTCTCACAGGCCATTCCATGCTCTCTCTCTCTCTCTAACAGGCCATTCCATGCTCTCTCTCTCTCTCTCTAACAGGCCATTCCATGCTCTCTCTCTCTAACAGGCCATTCCATGCTCCATTGCTCTCTCTAACAGGCCATTCCATGCTCTCTCTCTCTCTAACAGGCCGTTTCCATGCTCTCTCTCTCTCTAACAGGCCATTCATGCAGCTCTCTCTCTCAACAGGCCATTCCATGCTCTCTCTCTCTCTAACAGGCCATTCCAAACTTTCTCTCTCTCTAACAGGCCATTCCATGCTCTCTCTCTCTAACAGGCCATCCCATGCTCTCTCTCTCTCTAACAGGCCATTCCATGCTCTCTCTCTAACAGGCCATTCCATGCTCTCTCTCTCTCTAACAGGCCATTCCATGCTCTCTCTCTCTAACAGGCCATTCCATGCTCTCTCTCTCTAACAGGCCATCCCATGCTCTCTCTCTCTCTAACAGGCCATCCCATGCTCTCTCTCTCTCTAACAGGCCATTCCATGCTCTCTCTC